CAGTTACGCATTGCTTGAAACTTATTTTCGAAAAGTTTGGTGCTAAAAATGATCAACAATATGGAAAATAAAATTGAAACCAATATCAACGTATTAGATGGCATATTACTGATTTTCAAAGCTTGGAAAAGTATCAGAGAGTACACAAAACTGTTATCATCACGCGGGTTTCAAAATGCAATACAACAATAATTAGTTCAAAAGAACAAGAAGAAATATGTTTTCCAGATATTGATAATTATTTAACTTTAATAATGATGTACTAACTTAGAACCACTTAGTGATCAAGAACTTATTTCTTCGTTGAGCGACACACCTGAGGAAAACGAAATAATGAAGAAGCTGATATCTGATGAAGATTTTTCCATAAATGCTGTGTTCAATCAATAAAAATATTATCAAATTATATTTTAAATAATTTAAGTTCAACAATTATTATATATATAAAGACTGCAGTACGTCTTTAGCATTACTATCGGAAACAACATAAATTAAATGCTAAATGACATTAGATCGTAACGAAAATATGGGATAACTAGTTATAATAATTATACCAATAGGTGCTGCTAGATAGCTCTGTCGTCAACTATCCACTAAACGCGGCATCGTTGACGCTTTTCAAAACGTTCAACTGTTTCTCGTGTCCTATAATGAAATAAACAATATAATCTGGAAAGATAGTTAGTCAGGTGATATTTCGGTCAACGAGTTCGGTTCATATAGTGACAAAATGTAATGTGCAAGTCTATCGGCAGCTCGTGTTAAGTTATCGACGTCAAATATAAATACGGTGCGGCGTCTAGAAGACAGTTAAGATCATACTTCACAGGATCATTTCTGTAGTATGCATCCTCCAGGTGCAAATCTGGAGTCGTCATTGCCACGATGATGAGTCATGTCCATGCCAGAGCGTGAGGCGGCTAGTGGTCTGCTGTTCGCAGTGAGATCATATAGCAACGATGATCGCAACCAGTTTAACTGGAAGGTATGTGGTCAGTCTGAGTGGTTCACTTCTTAGTTATTGTTCTTTTAAGATCAATGAATTGATATAAGTAAGTGTTGAAAAGGCACCAAGTTTTCTAATATCGGTATACAAAAACTATCATAATCTCTTCACGAAGCATGACTATTCATTCAAGCTGTTTTAAAACTTTTTTTGTCACTTAAAATTACTCCTTCTATTGAGAATACATTCTTTAAATTATTTTGTTTTAATAAATTGTATGAGATATATATATTTTTGAGATATAGAATCTGATTGTTCATTAAGAAATGTTTAAAATTTTATTTTGATGTTTATTCTACCAACGATGTTCATTAATTTTAAATAATAAATAAATATGAGAATTTATATCGTTAAAAAAAAAAAATATGAGTAAATTTGATGTGTAGAACCTTAGCAATTATGAACTATTCATTAATTATAACAATAATTACACTGTTTTATTATTTGTGATATTTTTAGTAGTATTAAATATTAAATATTAAGCAGTAAGTTACACTAAACTCAAAGTAATGAATTACAAATATTCAATCATGTATCTAAATTGGCTAAATGGTTAAATATTAAGTATGACGTAATTGTATTTTATATTTACATATTAATTAAGAATATTATAATTTTTAATCATCATCTACGAGAGATAAGACTTACGTCGGAATTGACGCGATTAGAAATAATGACCTATTTTCTATTATTATTTTATAAAAAGACAATGATTATTGAACCGAAACCATTAGAATTGGATATAAATGTTGATTACATATTTTATAAGTTCGACTTATCTGCCAACAGCAGTTGGTAAATGCATTCAAATTTATATTTCATAAAAGAACGTATAAAATAATAACCATTATACAATATTGTACACCGGCAAGTCATTGGCGAACTCATAACGTGATTTTCATTTTATTGATAACGAGCAACAAGTGGACACCGGTCCACGGTAATTCCGAATTAATTATTATCAAACTTTGCTATAACTAATGAGTAGGTAATAATTCTTTAAAAATTAGAATCATTCGTTTAGCACCACATATTTTAATAAGTCGTATTAGTATTAGTTGTATTTGCTTCCCATTTATTTTACTGTCAATACTCAACATCGTCATGTCTGAATCAATTGTTGCAAAAGTACTATCTGGTACTGAATTGTCCAAGTAAGTTGAGAATTTAAATTCGACGATACACTTATTAATATCTTCCTCATCGTGTATTAGGGAAATCAAAATCGGCTTAAAAAAACAAACGGATGCACTTGTTGAAAATTTTAATGGGTTTAAAGCGCACCTCGTTATTATTCAAGTGGGAGGACGCGATGATTCCAATGTTTATATTAGACAGAAAATTAAATCAGCGGCCGAAGTGGGTGTGGAAGCATCACATATACAATATCCCAATACAATCACCCAAAATGAAGTATGCATTTTAATATGGTTTTTAAATTAAATTAATTATACTTCAATTGAAGCAGTTTTATAAATATTTATACTTATATTTCCATTGATATTGTAATATAATTATTTTGTTTATTTATGTTAATTAGTTATTGTCAGAAATCAATAAATACAACAGTGATTCGTCTGTACATGGTATTATCGTTCAAATGCCGTTAGACTGTACAGAAAATATCGATTCACATTTGATTACCAACGCTGTTTCCCCTGAAAAGGATGTTGACGGGTTAATTTATTTTAGACATATTGTGTATAAAGCCAAGGGTAGACTGACATAAGTGACAATTGTCGACTGTATCTTTCTATATTGAAGACACTGCTTTTAATTTTGACTGATAAAATATTACTGTAGCTTAATAAAATAATAGTCGGTAGGTGATTAAATTGTATTATTTATTATTAATAATTTATTATACTCACATATACTTGAATATCATAATGAATAACGGTTGATCTATTACAGACTATATGTACATAAACATTTTTACCATATCAGTACTGTTTCTGGTAAATAACTACTGTTAGGTGGATTCATAATTAATAAAATTTATGATTCTCTTTACTAAATCGTTTCCATTTAAAATAATTTGGTGTCAGTCTATCTTCTGTCTTAAGTCTCAAAATTATTTGAAAGATATTTTAAATATTGTATGTATCTTATGTTTATGTATATAGTTTAAACATTATTAATGAAGGTCGAGTAGCCATTGGTGATTTAACTGGTCTAATCCCTTGCACTCCAAATGGTGTTATTCAACTAATAAAAAGGTAAATATTTTTTCCATCTAAATCTTATAAATATTTAATTATTATTTAATTATAATTCTAGAAGTGGAATTGAAATTTCTGGAACAAGAGCTGTAGTGTTGGGTCGCAGTAAAATTGTTGGAGCACCTGTGGCTAGTTTACTCTTATGGCATAATGCTACTGTTACAATTTGTCATTCCAAAACTAAAGACATTGAAAAAGAAGTATGTTTAAAAAATCAACCCTAATATAATTAGTATATTTATGATAATTTATTTAAACAGACCTATACTCATGAACTTTTAAATATGTTTATATTTGTATGATTAAACCAACAATGTTTTATCTTTAAATACCCTTTTTTAACTTGAGTTTTAACAATGATTATTAGTTATTACTATGTTTAGTATACATTTTGATTAATTTTCTATTTATTTAGTACTAGCTAAATTACCCGGCTTCGCTCGTCTGTAGTTTGTGCTTTCTCAAAATTTTACTTAATTTTATCAAATGATAAATAGTAGTAGTAGCTGAATTATAAATAAAACAAAAATATAATGATCACTCATAGGAGTATTTGATATTACTTGGTAAAAAAAAATTGGAAAAATGTTAAATAGTGTCGTCATAAAATGGAAACAATCAAAATACAACCCCCTCACCCCTTTCTACAGGAAAAGAAAATAAAAAATCGAATGACATGGTGATACTCAAAAAGGCATTTTGAACAACACTGTGAAAAAAAATGTTAAAAAATGCCATCACAAAAGGGGAACCTAAAAAAGAGCTATTCTTTTATATATATAAGGATAGTTGCCAATACATTTTTTTTTCTAATTACTTTATCTAGATAAATTCTTATTCTTTTCAAAAATTCAATTTATTTGCCACTTATGAAAATTTTTAAAGCTATTTAATAATTTTGTACTTAGGTGTCCAAAGCAGATATTTTAGTGGTTGCTATTGGCAAACCAGAATTTGTTCATGGGTCATGGATAAAATCAGGAGCAGTAGTTATAGATTGTGGTATCAATTCTCTTCCAGGTAATTATACTTATAAGCTTGACAATTTAATTAGTATAAAATGTTTATCTTTTACTTAGACTCTACAAAAAAGTCTGGTTATCGTTTGGTTGGAGATGTTCATTACGCGTCAGCATCTCAAGTAGCGTCTGCCATAACACCAGTGCCTGGCGGTGTTGGACCTATGACTGTGGCTATGTTGCTATCAAATACTGTACAAGCAGCTACAAAGGTTGCAAACATGATTTATAAGAGCCAATGGAATTTAGACATACTTCCATTAAAACTTCAAAGACCAGTACCAAGGTAAAGTTGATAATATTATAAGTGTTCTCTTATTTAAATCAAAATAAAAAATATTTTATTTGTTTCTAGTGATATTGAAATAGCTAGAAGTCAAGAACCAAAAAATATTATGGTGTTGGCTAAAGAAATAGGTCTAAAAGAATCTGAAGTGATTTTATATGGCAATAAAAAAGCTAAAATCTGTATATCCGTTTTAGACCGTCTAAAGAACATAAAAAATGGAAAATATATTGTGGTTACTGGGTACGTAAACATAATTATCGTTTGTCATTTCAGTCAGGATTTTTTTAACAAATTGTTTTTTATAAACTATTTATATAAAAACTTTAATTTTAATGATTAATGATAAAAATAGTGATAGTAATATGCTGTCAATATGCATAATAGTATTTAAATATGTCTTAATTTATATGTTAAATAATATAATTTGATATTTTTTTATAATTTTTTTCTGATTCTTACATAGTGGTTATAATTTAACAATATACAATATTTGGAAACATAAAGAAAAGACAAATTATGAACATATTTTAATTTTAAAATAATATATGCAATATTTAATTTAAATATTAATACTATTTAGTATTTATCTTATATTTAATTAATAATTTATTAAATAAATAGTTTTAGTATATTTAACTAAATAAAAATTGTATTTGAGATCTAATCTCTTCCTAGAATGAACCTATATACGTATTAATAGAGTACTTTTTTTTGATGATGAAATATTCTAATGTAAAAGCATATTTCAGTATCACACCAACGTCATTAGGCGAAGGTAAGAGCACAACAACAGTAGGTCTCGTTCAAGCTTTAGCAGCACACTCCAAAAAAAATACTATTGCTTGTTTAAGACAGCCTTCACAAGGACCAACATTTGGAATTAAAGGTTTGTAAATATTTTCATAAATTTTACTAATTAGTAGTTTGTTCAGGATTAAAAGTGATTTTTTATTGACATTGGTTTTATCAGGTGGTGCAGCTGGTGGTGGTTACTCTCAAGTGATACCAATGGAAGATTTTAACCTCCATCTAACTGGCGATATACATGCAGTTACAGCTGCAAACAACTTGATGGCTGCACAAATTGATACTCGTATGTTTCATGAGGCTACTCAAAAAGATCAAGCCTTATATGATCGTCTTGTACCAACTGTGAATGGTGTACGTACATTTTCTTCCATACAACTGAACAGGTTAAGGAAGCTTGGAATCAACAATACTGATCCGTCAAAGTTGACTGCTGAAGAAATTGTTTCTTTTTCTAGATTAAATATTGATCCAAATACTATAACATGGAATAGAGGTAAATATTAAATAATATTGACTAATGGTATTGTATTTTAGACTATGACTAACTTAAATATTATCATAAAAATAATATTTCCATTTTTAGTAATGGATACAAATGATCGCTTTTTGCGTAAAATTACGATTGGTCAGTCACCAACTGAAAAAAACCAAACTCGACAAA